AAACAATGCTCTAGATTGTCATTCTGCTCTATCGCCACGACTCGTGGCTTCCCAAAGGGCATTTTCTCCGCTCTGACAGAGTTCCAGGGGAGGGAACTCTGTGTGGAACCTCTTCTCTCTCTGCTCCCCTGGGATGATGAAGTTTACTGTAAAGGTGGAAAGAGACGCTCAGGATCCGAGCCGTGCTGACAACAAGGTTTGTGGCAAACAGGAGCCTCACCTGGGACTCCATAAATACGGCAGCATAGCAGTGCCCACAGGTCCTTTGTCTTAGCTATCTCTGCCTTCTGCGTTACCGCTTGATTACTGCAGAGCGCTTCCTGGTCCTTATCTCAGTCTGGGGAATTTATATTTGCAATCCCATAGATAAGTTACTGGAATCCCATCAAGTTAATTCTGATGTACCACTTCCAGTGTAACCCATGGTGAGAGTAAAGACACGAAGGCATATTTATAGCTATGGGGAGCCAGGGGCTCCGAGGCCAGTCCTGGTAATGGCTAGCCAGGACAAAAGCCTCCACCCAGGGCTGAGCTTGGGTTTTATTCAGTCATGAAGGAGGAGTGGATTGAGGATGAATGACTGAGAATGGCAGGAAGCAGGTGAGCGCTGCGAGTTGGGCTAGGTGGAGGCCTGCATTTACCTCTGCAATATGCAGAGAGTAGCCTGCATCACACAGTCCCAGAGCTTCAGCTCTGATGTTTAGTCTTTCAAGCCGCAGGAAGCCAGAGCCTTTATCTCGAGGCCCAACCCCAGCTGACAGCATGGAGCATTGGCTCCTGGTCCTTTCTCAACCCACCTTGTACTAAAGAGCAGCAGGTGGGGGTTCCAGGGAAAACACATGTGCCGTCTTCAAAGAACACCACCAGCACCTTGGCTAGACTGATACGTATTGCTTAAAGCCAGTTGAAAGGAAAAAGAAAAGTGCTAGCTGGCTCTGCACATACCAATACATGGAAATCGGGTCAGGCACAGCCAAAAGGGACACGACTGCTCCTCTTTCAAGGAGAGTCGCTCACGTGTGCTCCAGAGCTTGTTTCACTCATAGAGTTGTCTGTGGTCTTCCTGCAGAGGAGGTGAGAGGACAGAAGGAAGCACCGTCGCGGCAGCGCATGCCCTAGCCCCATTGTACAGCTGTGGACTGTGGATCTGGGCCCTCGTCTGCATTCAGAGCCCACCAGTGCCTCCCCAAGTTCTGTGTCCAGGGGCAAGAGGAGTTTCTACCCGTATACATTTTAGAATGCACCAAGTCAGGAGCCAAGTCCACACTCCTTTTATTTTCTGTTGGCCTAGCCTAAGAATTATTCTTTACTTCATTTCATTTACATTAATGTATTCTGTTATTCATAGCTTATTGTCTTAGTATAAAAGTTTTCTTCAACTATCTCTACTAAAGATTGTTCTACCTGTCTATCATCATCTCTCTATGTATCTATCATCTATCTATCTACATATCTATGTATCGATCTATTATCTATTTATCATCTATCAATCATCTATCTATCTATAGTATTTGTTATGTTACATTTACGTGGTACATTACAGCAGAAAATAAACAAGATATAATTTTATACCTCAAAAAACTTAAATCTAGTAATAGTGGAGAAAACAAAGACAAATAGTAATAATACAAATAAAATTGGGAGCATATTGAAAATATATGTTGTTTTTGAGGTTGTCAGAGCCCTCAGAAATGGGGAAAGAGAGATGACTAGGTGGAGAACAAGGACTTTTAGGACAGCCACACTACTCGCGTGTCACATGTGCCATGGTAAGTGGGGCTCATGGGGCCGGTCTTCAGGGACACCTAGCGCGTGAAGAATGCAGGCTGTGACACACTTGCGGAATAGGTAGTAACTGGCTTTGCTTCGCCTACTGAAGGACATAATCTGTGCTAACCAAAGACAGTATTATGTTCCCCAAAGTGTATAACCAGATCTGCATTTGTGCTGTAAAATAGTTAGTGATATGGTAAAAAGACATTATAAGGATTAAAGGAGCTCCTTCATATGGATACGGAGAGGTCAGGTAGCTTTGAACCTGCTAATAAAAAGCTAGGGTGGGGCCAGGGAGACAGCTCGCGGCACAAGCACCTGCATGGCAAGTGCGAGGACGTGAGTTCGATGCCCAGGACCAAAGGAAAAACAGAAACAGGAACAAAAAACCTATGGTGTGGCAAGATGACTGCCTTCACAAAGATTGCAGGAGACTTTATTTTTCATCTCTGACTAATAAGTACAGAATATTAGTATTTAAAAAATTTCCATTTTAATTTCAATGTCAGAAATACAAGGATGTCTATAATTTTCAATGAAATGTTGGCTGCTCCCTCCAAAGCTGCTTTGCTTTTGTTAAGTGAGGAAGGGTAAGTGGGTAATCACTGTACCACCAGCATCATGTGTCACGGGCCCCGTGATTTACATATATTATCTTTTAATCCTTTTAATCCACAAACTATAAATTTGTTCCTTTAATCTTAATTTTACTGATGAAAAAATTTAGGATTAGAGGTTTATATAATTTCTCCAAATTAAAAAACTAGTAAGGATTTCTGAATGAGGACATTCAGAATTGACATTCAATTCATTTTGAATTGAAAAGGGCAAGTGAATGAATACATTTTGATTGTTAACCTACAATATTAAGAAATTCTGTATTGTGTAGCTATTGTAACATGGGTATGATTTTATTTTGTTTTTATTTTTAACTGACACAAGCCATAAATGTTGCACATATTAATAGGACTTTAATTAATAAACTTTTAAGTAATAAACTTTCTTTTAGATATTAGAGTCGGTTTTAATAACTGGATGCGTGATGAGAAGCTTTGTGGGCAGCAGTTATCTAGGGTGGAGCCACGGCTTATGAGCCGCGGGACACACCTGCAGCTGTTTCTTTCTTCTGGGGCACGTGAAGGGTCCAAGTGGTCCAAGATATTCCGAGCTTGACTTAGGGCTGATGCCTGAGGTGGGCGTGAAATATGCCAGGAGACAGGTTTAATAGGCCCTGACGCGAGGGGCTAGGGCTTGCAAGGCAGGCATGGAACGGACACAGCCTTGGAGTCGCCAGTGGTGGGTACGTAGGACTTCCCAAGGAGGCTCTGTGGAGTCGGAGATAGAAGGGCTAGGCGCCGCGCCCGAGGGTCAGCAGCCTTTAGGGCGGGCAGAGGGAGAGGCTGGCAGAAGACCCCTCGGCGGGGTCCGGAAGTGCAGGGCCTCAGGTGGCTTTCCCGTAGGGCTCGGCGATGCCATTGGCTTGTGAAATAGCTATCTCAGCGCCGCTCCTCCGGAGCATCACTCTCCTGTCCCCGGGGTTTGAAATGGCACCTCAGACATCTCCACTCAGAAGACAGAAAAACAGAAAAAAATGTGCGTTTGGGGTTTTTTGGTTTGTTCGTTTTCTAATTGCGTTTCCATGAAGAGAGGAGGGGCAGTGCCAGAGAACTCCCTGCTGGTGTGTGGTGACCACTGATCTGAGGAATTCTACACTTGTTTACAAGGGTAAAATTAGGTTTTTATAAAGTTATTATTATTATTATTATTATTTTGTGACAGAGTCTTTTGAGACAGAGTCTCGATATGCAGTTCAGGCTGGCCTTGAGCTCACTTTGTAACCCAGGCTGGTACCAAACTTGCGAAGATCCTCCTGCCTCAGCCTCCTGAGTGCTGCGATTACAGGCATGCGCACCATGCCCTGCAATTAGGTTTTAGCAGACATATCAGTGATAATCTCAAAATGACAAATATTTGCATAATCTTAGGGCTAGAGACAAAGCCTGGTGTTTTTATACCAGAAATTATTCATAATTATGTGCAACAATAATTCAAAAGATTTGTGCAAATGTAACCCTTACCAAAGTGTAGCTCATAGTCTTGGTTAATAGAAATTCTTACCTTGAAGTTCATATGAGTTATACAACAAAAGTGTCAGAAGAAGACGTCTATAATTAGGTTGGAGTAACTCATGTTTCCAGATTTTATGATTGTACATTTGTGTTAATTGCTCGTTTAAAAGTACATACATACAGTAGATTTTGAAATAACCCTTGTCAAAATAATACTGCAGTCATATTTGATAAATTTAAACTGTATAAACTTGAAACAAAGTTCCTGGTTTCTTTCAACTTTAAGTGAAAATAATGTTCGCAAACTTTGTTCATAATAATAGACATGATCAAAATTAAATCCAAAATTTTAATCATAGATTTATTTTGAAAAAAATAATACAATGTATTTAAGATACTTGTTCAATCTAGAATAGAATCTATTTACTTCTTTGAAAGTTTATTTTATTTTATCTTTGCAGTACTAGGGATTGAACTCAGGACCTTGTGCTTGCCAGGCAAGCACTTATTCCACTGAGCTATCTCCCTGGCCCTCTGTTCACTTCTTTATGTCATCAGACTAAAATTAATTTTGTTTTAATAAAGTAAAATAAAACAAATATTTTGAATACTACAAATCTCTAAGCTATGCTGGGCTCCATGGTGGGTCTGATCTGTACTCTTAGAGAGAAATTTGTAACACTTAGGATTTTTAGAACACTCTATAATGACTATTGTTCTAATTTGTGATTGGTAAATTAACGCATAGGTCACTTTGGAACACCTCTAAAAATGGCTTCTTGAAGGTAAGTTTTTAGGAGGGGTTGTCTAGTCTTGTATTTCTTTCTTGTGTCTAGCTATATTTTGCATTAACCATACAGGGAGTTTGCTTTTATTTCTTTCCTAGATGAATAACACTATACTTCTGAAGTTTATCTGTATGGTGTGCTTTAGCCTCTTATTTTTAGAATTCTGTAATGGCAATGGCTCCATTGAGGAATATATTAGTTTTTCATAGAATTAAGGAAGAAGCCATTGAAAGAATTACATTTAAAAATATTGTTCTGTTCTTTCGCTCATGTATTTAACCATAAATCAGCAATAGTTTTTATTTGTGAGGAGGAGAATGGAATGGTTACTTTTTACATCTCAAAATCTGATTTTTTTTATTTGTTGTAGGTTTTATTGGGATTTGATAATGCTTATAATGATGGTTGGAAATCTGGTCATCATCCCAGTTGGAATCACGTTCTTTACAGAGCAGACGACAACACCGTGGATTATCTTCAACGTGGCCTCGGACACGGTCTTTCTCTTGGACCTGATCATGAATTTTAGGACTGGGACCGTCAACGAGGACAGCTCCGAAATAATCCTGGACCCCAAAGTGATCAAGATGAACTACTTGAAGAGCTGGTTTGTGGTGGACTTCATCTCCTCAATTCCAGTGGATTATATCTTTCTTATTGTGGAAAAAGGAATGGATTCGGAAGTTTACAAGACAGCCAGAGCACTTCGCATTGTGAGGTTTACAAAAATTCTCAGTCTCTTGCGCTTACTACGACTTTCAAGGTTAATTAGATACATCCACCAGTGGGAAGAGGTGAGTCGTGTCTTTTTCTTTCTTAGAGCCGGTATTTCACTGCCGCTGTTGGAGTCTGAGTGTGCCTGTGTAGTACGCCACATGAACGTTGCCTACTAAGCTTTCTGCGTGCACACCTTTTGGTGCGTAAGTCTTACCTTTGTGTCTCCAGAAGAAACGATCAGCCAGGCGTGGTGGTGTGCACCTGTAATCCCCGCACTCAGGAGGCTGAGGCAGGAGGGCTGCTGCACGTTCTGAGACCTCGGATTGCTGAGGCTTTGTCTGAAAAAGACAAGAAACAAAACAAAAGCCAGAGAGAAGTGATCTCAAATACTAAATGTGAATAAACTGAAGAAAGCAATTACAGAGCAACAGTCTTAGGTCAATATAGTGTATTTAAAATTTAATTCATATATATTTTTTCTAACCAAGTACAATCGTTCTTCTCTTCTGGAGGATTCCTTTTTCTTTAATATGAATACATCAAGGGCCGCATTTGAAAAACACACGTAGGCTCTGGTTTTTAGGGTTGGATGCCGCTAAACGATAGTGTCATGTGTGTTTCCTACAAGATTAGATGCCAGTAAATTTATGTTCAAAAGTAATACATTGTGATTATTTTCAAGTTGTATATGTGAAACCTTGGACTTTAGCGTAACATGGTTGTTCATTCTTATACCCTGCCTAGAGTCAGAGTTTTTTTCTTCTTAGCTCATTTTGTAATACTTGAAGCAGTGTATCCAGGAAAGAAATTACAGCCTGGAGGGCACAAATAATACAGTGAATAACTGGGGCGGGCTTGGGCAGTGGGGGCCCTGCCCTGCTGAGGGGACACCTCGGCTTGCGGGTACTGGGGCGCCCCGGAGAGAGCTCAGCCCGGGAGTCTGCCGGCTGGAGCTCCCTGGCCGTCGTCGCGTGGTGCGCTCATGTCCCTAGTTCCAGCGTCTGCACCTAACCTTGCGGCTTTCTCATTCCCCCTCAGTCTACCCTTTTGTGTTAATTATAACCTGAATCTTATTGCCTTGTAAGAGCGCGAATCCGAAAGGCTGCGGAGGCGTCCAGCGGCGCTCTGCCCCGCGGAAGGGCTTCCCAGCGCCCCCCGGCAAGTCACGGATGGAAGCTGCGTCTGCCTGCTGTGTGGCCAGAGCCGTGTTTTGTGTGTGCTTGTCAGCGACATTTTGGCTCACAGGATTTCAGGAAACGACATGCAAGAATGAAACACTGCATAATACACCGATGAAAGGCATAAAAATGGCATGTTCTTAAAATATGGGCGTAGAATACATTTAAAATCGAGTGCAGTACATTTGAGAAATTGGCTCCCTCTTGTAATTTTCTCTATATAGCATATTCCAGCTAGCGTGGAATAGATGTTAACTTCTCCAAACTTCTTTGTACCATTTTGAGGTTAATATCAAACCAATATAATTGATAATAATAGCTGACATTTATTGAGAGTTTATTATTTGTCAAGTACTATATTTTATTCTCAGTATTAATTAGCTCACAGAACCTCCCTAACAACTCAGTGAGGTAGATACAGTTACTATCTTCATTACGCAGATAAGGATAATTAAACAGTAGAAAATAGCGTGCCCCAAATGCCCAGAGGCAGGAAGGGGAGCTGGGATTCTAACCGCGACCCCACGTTCAGTGTTCTTGCAAGACGGTGCAGGCTCTCGTTCTTGTGTGCGCTCTTTCCACGATCAATTCTTCGCATTTGTCCATTTATAGATTATAGAAGGAATCAGAGAGGGGTTTTCTCGCCTAAAACTGTGATCCACGCAATAGCAGATTTGAATTGTATCCTCTTCAAACAAAGCCACCAGATATTCTTTCACAAAAAAATTTTTATCAAGTAGTCTGTGGAGGGGAAGTCACTAATATAAGTACCCTGTCAATTAAAAATACAGCAGGTGATGTGGCTATTTTTAATGTCTTGTGGTTTTAACCCAGTTACCCGGGAGCATGGCAGCAGGCTGAGCAGATGGCCTCCTATCGGATAGAGTGGCTGGCCATGTGGCTGTGGAAGAGGACACTCTTCTCTCCGATGTCCTTTGCTTCTGGCAGGGCTCAGAGCACCTCGCTGTGCCTGTGACAAGGCAGTGTTTAAAGACACCATTCAGGAACGTCGGCTCCCTGCCATAAGTAATGCAAAACACAATTTAATTAGCACTTACAGATACTTGGTAACCAAACCCATTGAGGACACAGTTGTGATTTGGTAAGCCCTTTTTATAAATAAATGACCTTAGGCATAAGTGAACCTTAAGCTCATTTAAGAGAAGAGTGTTTTCTTGCTTATGCAATGTAACCCGTATAATGTCATATATCATGGCTCTTTAGTGCCTGTCAGGAATACTGTTAAACAGGGAAGAAACACTCATGATTCAGAATTTAGTACAAATTCATTATTCCACCCACATGATTCAAACCCTAATCACAAAAGCACTTGAATTGTTCCCAGACTGGCAAAGCTGTGCCTGATTTCTTAAATACCACCAGGATGTGTTTACAAGGAGAAACACAACAGAGAAAGCAGGAGAGGCACCTCGTGCCTGCCTCGGGGAGGAGGCTGCAGAGGAAGCTCCGCGCTCACCCACATGTCTGAGTTCGGAGTGTTTTAGTACCAAGCTGCCTGGTGCTAAATTCAGCAAATTTGGGGAAGTAACGTGTGAAGTCTGGAAGCTGCCACTGTTCTAAATGAATCATTCTCAAGGAAAGTGGCTGCCTTCTGCAAGAAACCACGGCTTCCATCTTCAACAATTATTGCTTTTTTTTTTTTTTTTTTCCTTAAGATCTGGTCTGAATTAGTCCAATTGAAAAACAACAAGGAGCACTGAGGCCAGATACGTATCATGAATGAAGTAAAGAAAGGTTGCTGTCCGAGCCGTCCGGTAGGTCATTCCAAAGTTAAATGTGTGGTGAATAGAGTAGCAAACAGTGGAGACAGGAAACTAACTTACGAAATGCTGTAGTGCTGGGGAGTCAGGAGAGAAGTGCTGCTCAGGAGCCAATTATGAGATAAATGGCTTTCAGGTGCAAAAATAGAGCTCTCTGACACTGGGCTGGAATTTTATGTATCTTGCCAGGTAAAGTGAAACTCTGAGGCAATTTAGGTAAGTCTAAATTTTAGACAAGAAATTTTCTTGTCTAGCAATCTCCATAAAACTCAGGTGAGTTTTTGCTACGCTTGTATTTTGGTTTCAGAAACAATTACCTTGATTCAGTGTTGTTTTTGTTCTTATTATTTTATTTCAAGTAGTGACAATGATCCCAGCCAGACTGCTATTTTGTGACCTATCACAAGGGGAATCAAGTTTCTGTGATCCTCCTAAAAGAGACATATGGTGTAGAAATCCTCGGAAATTAAATGGAATAGTATTAAGAATTTGTGACAATCACAAGCCACTGAAGAGATAAAGACTAGATTAAGAGCTTAGTGAATAGAGAGATTATTCGGTTTGTGAAAGTGAAGAGTTCTAGGACCTCAAATGTCACAGCTGCTGACCTTACTTGTTCTGTCAAAGACAGAGAGCCCTTGACAGTTTTAGAGCATATTAATTGAAGAGAGAAATCCTTCTTTGAAACAACTTTCTGTTTGTAGTTTTTGATGTCATATACTGTGGATTTTTCATGGATGACGCAGTAATGTGGTAAAATGCACAACTGTGCATTGACTATGTTTTGATAGTATATGAGGAGTGAATAAAATACGGTGAACATATAAATTAAAAAATAATTACAATAAAAGACACATTCATTCATCTTCTGCTGATGCCCCCTCTCCCTTCAAGCTCGCCTGTCCTATCCTTCCCTCTTGGAAGCAGCTTTGGAACTGCTCCCTCCCGTGTGTCTCTAGCTGGGCTTCCGGCTGCCTGGAGGGGCTTACATTTGAGCCTCATGGTCCTTTGGACTTGGGGGAGAGGCAGAACTTGTGTGGTGCGAGATCTGGTGGCTCCAGGGCACCAGCTCGCCAGCAGGGCTTCCTGGGCTGCCTTTCCATTGGGCAGGAGCAGCCCCCACCGTCAGTTATGTGTCAACTTTGAAAAGACAGAAGGAGGACTTCTAGAACTACATCAGAAAGGGCCACGAGCAGTCGGGTGGGTGTGTTGGAAGGAAGGGGAGTGCTTTCAGGGAAGTTAATGGCAATGTGTCTTTTAATTCTTTTTTTTAAATTTAAGCATTCATTGTTTCATTGGGACCACTCCTTACAAACATCAAATTTTTTCAATTCCTCCTTTCCTGCCTGCTCAATCTCCCTGTGTGGAGACTTTAGACATCTTATATCTAACAAAATACATTTTGAGTTAGGAAAGAGGGGCTGTGGTTTTGCTCTTCTTAAGCCCATGCGAATTGCAGATGAATAATGGGCCTCGCACGTTACAGTGCTGCTTCAGCAACTGTACTCGGTTTTCACGGTAGTTGAGAGGTTGGTGATCAACAGTTACATGTGGCAACCCAGCGCTAAGAAGGCCTTTAGCCGGCCGGAAGCTGGCCATGCTTTGCTTGCTGTCTTCGGTTAACTAGCAATTTATATTAGGAGCCAGCTCTTGCCATAGGTTGCCTATCTGTAATTATTTTAACTTCTTTTATCGTTTAGAAAAAGAAAAATCATGTAAGATATACCCTAACAGAGCAGCAGTGTTTTCCCAGCCCTGTCTGGACTAGCACCCAGAGCCGCCTGCTGGCCGCCACGTCCAGCCTGCGTTTGCGCCCCGCTGCGCTCTGCCCAGTCTCACTGCTGGCCCTTCACATTTGTATCAACAACTCTATTTGATTTTCTAATTTTACAACGATCCTTGTGAAAGTGATTCCTTCCACTCCTATGATTTGTGTGAGTTAACTTTAGATTTGGAAAGCTGATTCTTTTCTTAAACTCCTTTTAAAAATCCAACTCCATTACATCTCCAGGAGGTATTCTACACAGATGAACTCAGCTGCCATAGACAGTACCTTTACAGTGAAAACGTCTCCTGGTGTTGCTTACAGTGTTCAGCTGTCTGGATTTTGCTTTCCTT